ATGATACTTGTGTCGACTTGTGTCGCTTGCTGGAAAGCTTTCAATATACACAGTCACTCAAATATATATAATATGTTGAAAAAAAATGTGAATTCTCACGCACATTCTCTGAGAAAAAAATTGGTACCACAATTTGCATTTAATTATAATAAATTATTTAAAAATAAACTATGTTTTAATATAGTTTAGTTTTAATATAGTTTTAATATAGATAACTACGTTTTAATATATTTTCAAATATAAGTATGTTATATTAATTATATGTACAAAAAAAATCGAGAAAACTCAAACAGACGTTGTGTTGACGTCTTTGTGACGTCACAAAGCCGTCCTTGCCAGGAACCACAATGACGTCTTCATGACTTATAGAATTACGACTTTTGAAACATGTCATTTTGACATCATCTTGACTTATGTGTTCTCCTTGGGTTATTATTGATGACGCTCTTACAGTATCGGCGTTAATCCAAAACGAATTGTATATGATCACATATGTTGTACAGAAAAATGTAGTAGAGATAACCTCGAGAATAACTTCTGGAGTACATTTTGACGTCAAGAATGTGGTAAACTGCAAGAAATAATTTTCAATAAATAAATTAGCCACGTCAAAAAAGCAACAGTAGATTGTCTGATTAACAAACTGTAATTTCTTTATTCTCCGTTATTCTGTATACTATGTGCAATAAATTAGTAAGAAGAGCAGGTAATTAATATTCGGATATAATTGTATCACAATAATATTATTTTAATAAAATAAAATATTATCCAATATAATTTGAAATTTGATAGATGCAAATTAAAATAACGCTTTGTTGTACAATACTTGGTAGCTTATTTCATAATAATAATATTAAAATCTTAACATACTTGGAATATAATGAAAGTTATCAGAATGCCAAGAAATAAAATGAACTGAAGTTCAACGACTCGCGATCGTTGATAAGGCCACAAACCAACGGCAAGCAGCAGGATTCGATTGACGTTAAAATGTCGAGTTTCGAGACAAATCATCTCTTCGTGAGCACAGAGATGTATTTGACGGAAAAGCAGTGGACGGAAATCTATATATCTCTCCTCTTTTCTCTTGATTGATGGTATATTTGCCTAAGCAATGCTAAGTATTAGTATATCAGCTTCAAATTAGTAAATTATGTTAATGTTAGTATACATAGTAAATTAGGTAATGTCATCAAAAATAATTTTTTCTCCAGCAAAAATAATTTCACTCATATATACTCACCCGCAAAAAATTCTGGCTACTTCAAATCGGTGTTAAAAAGCACCTATTTCAAAGTAACATATCTTTGTGAAAAAGGATCGCAGAGTAATGTTTTAAAGTTTTTTAAAGCTTTTTAAAGCTTGAGTCCTCAGCTTTCGAATGCTTCGAGACTTGTTTCTCTACGAAGATTTGACTACAAACGGCGCTAATTTAAATTGGACATTGCAAAATTGAAGAATACACTTCAACTTTTATAGCGTACACGTGGAGAACAAAATTTATTCTCCAAATTTTATTGATTATATCGTAAAATTTAACATTTTTTCTTTAAATTTTTTTTAATCATTACGCTATAATTTTTTTTACTGAGTTATGACAATTTGAAGTGAATAGTGGATTTTCTGGTCTTTTCTCTGAAAATCTGTATTCTATCGCCGATATTCGCATCTTTTGATTTTTTATGAAAACTGCTCCGTTGGCAAAATGGTGCAAACGACAAACTGCAATGTTCATACGGGAGTGACAAACAGCGAGGTACTTATCTCCGCTGTGACACACACACACTCACAAACATTAAAGCACGCGCCTGATATCTCACTATAGTAGGAAAATCATTTATACGTTCTGCTGCAGAAAACGTTCCTGAATGTGAAATACATTCCCTAGCATATGCAAGTTCTTCTACTGCCCAAAGACGTGACTCAACTGCGGGCTGATTTTGTAACTCTTAACGACAGTTTTGTTATCGTTATATTGTTTTTGCGCTGCTTTTTTACCATGTATAATATTTGCGCAACAACAATTTAACGATAACGAAACTGTCGTTAAGAGTTACAGAATCAGCTTGCTAGACATGTAGTTGTCGACAGCTATTATGTTTGCCGCGATTTGAATGGAAAGCAAAGGAAAACAAGGAAGCATTGCACTTGCAATAAAAATAAAGGAGTGTGCGATGAACATCCCATAAGCAAGTTAACGTGCTATTACTCTATCCAAGTTTCCTCATAATCATCCTAAACATTGTACTATATTTTAATAGTGTAAAAGAATAAAAATAAAATACGAACACATAAATAAACACAAATATAATTTGTTTTTACATTATATCCAATTTTATACAAACCATGTGAAGGTACCTTCGTCATTATAATTAGGGTGTTAAACAACTTTTGTTTTTTCGTCTTTTCCATTTTTCTCCATTAAGTCAATCTGTCTAAAAATAATGCTAAAATAATCTATTTATCGATCGATGAGTTCTTATGGGGTTTTAGTCTCCTGATGCAACTAGAACATAAAAAATTTTGGTAATTGTGTACATCGAGGGGACCACCTTGGACCTTGATATTTTAATATGTTGTCAAGGTCACCCTCCTGAGTGACCTTCAGAAGGTTTCAGCCCGCGCTCGTTCTTTATTCAAAAGTTATTGACAAAAAAATTTGAGAAATGTAGCAGTTATTTTGAGTATTAAAAAGCATAAATGACTAATATATATGTCGAAATAGTTCACGCATATACTTTCCATGCGAAACGAGGTGCCACATGGGTTCGTGGGCGTGCTTTACAAGTTCGTTTAAGTAGAGGTGGTATTAAACAAGATAAGTTGGTCGATCATCTATGTGAATATTTGTGGCAATATACGATAAAAAGAATTGTGTATACAGGAAATTAATAGAAAATATACAATAACAAATTAATAGACGGCGATACGAGTCAGGCGCGGTACGTGGTGCACAAGTAAAGAAATTAATAGTTACAGAAGTAACTAATTACAATGTATATATATATATATATATATATATATATATATATATATACACATATATTCCAACTTAATAAACTGCGCACCGATTATTTGTCGGACTTGAAACACAGCTATCGTTCAAACATTAATACCCTTCCCTCCCCGGAATTGAATCTACACGATTTAATTATTTAAAAAACTGTAAAGAAATTATTGCAAAAAATAATAATGTGTTAATATTTATCGCAATAACCGGTTAATAAGTTTAACAAACGCATGTTTCAGACTGCATAAATTCAAATATATCATTAGACTTGCAATAATTTCTTTACAGTTTTTTAAATAATTAAATTGTGTAGATTTAATATCGGGGAGGGAAGGGTATTAATGTTCCAACGATAGCTGTGTTTCAAGTCCGACAAATAAATCGGCGCGCAGTTTATTGAGTTGAAATATGTATATATATATATATATACATTGTAATTCGTTACTTCTGTAACTATTAATTTCTTTACTTGCGCACCACGTACTGCGCCTGACTCGTATCGCCGTCTATTAATTTGTTGACATTTTTACGTCAACGAGTCTAATGATATATTAGAATATATAATGTTTCATTATGTACATATAGATTAATGATGACAGCTTTGCGCCGACAGAAATGATTGATTGTGCTGAAAAGCACGATTTCAGATCGCAAAATACATGCCCTAATTCGCATGTGAATTTGAAAGCCGTTACTTAATCTGAAATTGATAGAAAGAATCAAGTGATTCTAATGATAATAAAAATATAAACCTTTTGATGGTACTGTTTCTGATATAAGTCGGCTACCAAAATAAAATTTAGAAACTAAAAAACCTTGTCAAAAAAGTCAGAAATTACATCATTTCCTTCTTTATAAATAAGTTACCAAATAAAAGAAAGTAAAGCAAAAAAATAAAAAAAGGCAGCAGAGAAAGATATTTCCTCGATGGAAGAAAGAAACATTGATAAAATGTCTTTGACATCTTCAAATAAAATTGTTTGTCCAAGGTGCAATAAAAATTTTGAAAATGACTATACATTTTGTGGAATTTGCATTCAAAGCTGTCATGTGGCTTATTCCGGTTATGAAAGAGTTACTGTTAAATCCTTTATTGTGTACTACGTAACATCATGAGTACTGTTAGACTGTTTATCGGATAAATGTATGCATTTACAGATTTGTATACTTTTCTTAATACAAATTGTTTTATATTAGTATATAAAATTATTTATTATTATTATCTCTGAAAGTTACTTGACTTGCTTATATGTAAAAGAATTATGTTTCGTTTTTAAATAAATGTTTGTTACAGGCACAAGTTTATTGAGTGCGTATTCGTATGCGTATCTTTAATCTAAACAATTTTAAAAGCGAAATTTATATACGTTTGTTTGAGGGATCACCTCTAATATATATTACATTTCGGTAACATTATTTACATATAGAGATATAGTGTCACAGATAGAAGTTTCTGTTATCCGTAAATAATCAATATTGTTTTCATTAAATAGTCCATTGTTCCCAACAGTTATTTGTCGTGCAGATGCGGGTTATTTTATTGGGCTTTCTCCATACGGAAGATTGGGACTGTGTGGCTCCAGGGATATGTTGCTCATGTGCTATTTTTTAGTATATTTATATTGAAAGGAACAATGTACGGAAACTCGCGTAATGCTTTTCTTTTTTAGAATTTAGAAGAACTATTTCTCTATTTCTTTACCACTGTTCTTCTCGAGGTAAATACTAAAAAATAGCGCATAAGCAACATACCCCTGGAGCCATATATATATAGCCTCGGTCTTCCTTACTTGAGATAATTACATATCGGAAAAATATACTACTAAACATTATTAAAAATTAAATAAAGTATCAGTTGATTGCGTTATAAGAAAAAACTAATAAAGTAAATTTCTTTTACATTTTATTTAATAATGGAACCATTCAAAATTTTATTGCATTTACAAACAGAAAACTTTTTATAATTACATAAAGTTTGAATAATAAAAATGTTTTATTGTACGCAACGTTTTCAACATTCTGCAATTTTTACAATGTAGAATTCCGATTTCTCACTTAAATAATAATATTCTCCCTTCACAGAATTACTAATACTTCAACACAGATTACCTAAAATGCGAGATCAAAATAGTCCCAATATTTATTTCAAACAACTTCACTGTCCCCTTTTCATTCTCTCGCTTCCAAATTAAAACTAATTTTATTTTATCGTCATTAATTCATACTCTTAATTCTCCCTCGTAGAATAGAGAACAGTAAAATAGGATATTGAAGTACTCATCAGCTGTAATAAAATATATCTTTGCCTTATTTTTTAATAAGTAATATTAAAAATATAATAGAACTTTAACCAAACATTTGGGGACAATACGTTTAGATAATCGATTTTTTTTATCATCATGTATATGATGATCAAATTACGACGTTTTGAAGTAAAAGTTAATTATTAATTTTATAATATTATTGACATGATAAAACAAAAAATACAATAGTAATTTTGTAATTTCCTTTATCTTTTATTCTATTTTCTAGCTGTACTGAGCTGTTAGTTAACATTTTATAAATAATAATTATTATAGTGAAAATATACGTTTTTGTATGATTTATGTGATGTAAAGCGTGATTCGGCTAAAATAGCAATAGAATATTTTAAACCGTAGTGGTCACACTGGGTCCAGTGGACCCCCAGGCTATTTTTTTCTTAAACGTATTTTGAGAGTAAAACGCAGGAAGTTTTTTTGCTCTATTTCAAAAATTGAAATTTTGATGAATATTTTTGTGAAAAAAGTTAAATTTCTCGAAAAAAAATTTTCTCGCGTTTTTTTAACATAAAATTTAAAAAAAGAGAAAAAAATTATTGGATTATAAAGAGAAAGTCTTAAACTAAATTCCAGTTCAAAATTTGAATCGATACATAAAAAAAAACGCAAATGGCAACTGTTTTTCTGCGTGGAATCCATTGGACCCAGTGTGACCACTACGTTATTTTTAAGAGGTGTGACCACTACGGGTTAAAATGATGATTGTTAATGTTATTATCGATTAAATAATATTCTCAGAGATAATAGAAAAACTTACTATAAAATACAACATATGATACATGTTTCTTACCATAGCCGCACTTTCTAGAGACGCCACAAATATTCCACCGAGATTTATATAAAAAGGTTTTGTGCCTTTTTGCAGTAGAAACAATATTATTTTCTGTATATGTAACGGAGCTGTGTACCACTGAACGTTGTATCTACAAAATAATAACAATTGCTAGTTCTATAATGAGACACAAATATTTGGTAATAATAAATGTATTTGTTCCACGAATCGTATTAATACTTTTACTGTAATATTTTTTATAATTTAGATTTTTATTACAAAACGAGTACTCTTGTATGACAAAATGATGGAAATATTTCTTACACTGTGGCAAATAGATATTCGTTGTGATCCGTAATTTCTTGCGCAGTATGGTTGGCTAAGAACAAGTACACGTAGAGGATGTTTATTATTATAAAAGGTATAAGAAGTTTATCAATTTCATCACTATATGACGCAAGCTAAAAAATGTGATACGTCCATTAAGCATCTGCTATCGACTTCTTACGCACTATCAAATCATATTGTGTTCTATATATATTGCATGATAAAATTTCAATAGATTATGATATGTCATCGGATCAGAATATTGAATTATTAAAAATAATTGAGAATTAAAAGTTTTAATATTAAGTTTTTATTTAGTTATTGCTAATTTATTTAATTAGCTTATACATCATATAATCAGCAATTACAGTATCTTAAAAATTAGGTAACCATTATTTTTATGAATTATCGTTTTCAATAAATATATTATAGATAGAAAAGCGTTTAGCCACTTCTTTTTATTTTCTTGACTATTTCATAAAATTCTAATATCATGAAATTACGATTAAATATTTTACCCGAAAAAGATTAAGGCTAAGACAAGTCACGCCGATTGCTATCAAGAAGAAGAATGATCCCTCAAAATTTGATATTAAAAAATCCGTGAACCTTCAAGTACAAGAAAATTCGTGTAATTATATTAGTATTTAATGCTCTTTATTAAATATATACTAACTCCATAGCCTTGCGATGAATATCTACGGCATAAGTAATCTCCTTATAAACCATGTCCTCACTCTTTAGGATGTCTTTTTGTAAAATATTGATTGCTTGTTCGATTCGATAACTGTAAAAAAATAATTTTACTCCTTCAATTAATTTTATTTTGTTTTGAGATAACACACAAATATTGTTTTCGATTATATTCTAGCATTCATTTACTCACCTGGCGATACCAAATATTCCGCAGATATGTTGAAGATATGCAACGAGCATAGTTCCTGTCGCCATCATTGAGACAGCCCCTATGTAAATGGTTGCTAATACATGCAACGTGATTAAGTAGAAATATTTTTCTTGATCAATAAAGTATTCTGTCATGAAATACTCTGAAGGATTTAATCGAGACTCGTTTTTAGGCAGACCAATGTGTTGAATGTACGTCCAAATATGCATAGCAGTAAATGTAGCTGTGCCATATGTACCAATCACTGAAAGAAATTTTGTAAAATTAAACATACACACACACACACAACTCACATACAGCGCGTGCGTGCGTGCGTGCGTGCGTGCGTGTGTGTGTGTGTGTATGTGTATGTATCAAACATTCAGTTGCCTTTTAATTTTTTATATTGAGGATAGGCAGAATCTTGTTTAGTCTTAAAAAAAAAAGTGTTTATGATTATGTTTAATCTAATTTTTAAACATACAGAAGACTCGACTATCATGTCTTACGTATAATTGCAGTTGTGTAACGTTTCGCCTTGTTTCCGTATTTTTTCAGAATAGCGATTTCTTTCTCATCTCTTAGCTCGTTACATACATCTTGAAGCCGATCCAGCGAACTCTTTATCTGTCAATAATATTATGCCAATTTTTTTTTCTTTTTTTTTTGTAAAGGAGGGTGACTCTGGGCCCTTTTCTAGACAAATAAAATAAGGTTTATTCAAAAGTTTATGTTAGAAGATTAACGTAACCAGTAGCTTAAATTTGCAGCTAATGCAGGAGAGGAACATTAGAATATAGCTTGAGTATAGGACACTATTTTCGTACCCATCACTCAAATTACTACTTTTTACGTTTGCAGTCATGTCATCCAAGAAGCTTGTTGGGAGTGAAATAAGCAAAAAATGTCTACCATATTCCGAACACCATGATACTGTTATAACGTGGACGCAATAATCCACTGTGCGAAGACTATTCTTACAATGACAGTAGTATTCTATTATGGCATCTGAGGCTTTATTCGGTTTTTATCCGATCAAGATATAAACCAAGTACTTTGTACTTCTATAATTACGTGTCGAATTTGAACGGGATCATTATCTCCTGTCAGTAGATTATATTTTTAAATGCGCGCGCGCGTTTAACATAAATACACACACTTATAGAGTTTTCTACTGAGAAAACTAGTGCAACACTGGTGCACACTAAGTGTAATTTTATTGCTCTAATGTGAAAATTAGTTTACATATTTTCAGTGTGTAATGTTCTATTGACAAAAATTTGTCAAGTTAAACGTGGTGGAACATTAAACACTGAAAATATGTGTGCATTAGCGTGCACGAGTGTTACACTAGTTTTCCCAGTAGAAAACGCTATTAGTTTTAGTTTATACGTGCAGTCTGCTCTTACGTGTTCAGCACAATATCCTGTTTCAAGTTGAACATGCACGGACAGCTGAGTACATGTATCACACGCTCGTTTTATTTCCCCTTCAAGTATGGCTCCAAAGGAGGACATTACTACAGAGGATTCGTCACAAAAATCCGAAATATCTTTCTGTCTTTCTTTGACATGACTGCAAAATAATATAAGACATCCAAGAACTTAGCCGAATCAAGACAAGCATGCAACAAGCACCATTATGCAGTTGATAGAATTCAATGGAGGCCTTACTGGGATCTATATCTATAGGATAATATAAAAGAAATATTGTAAATCAAATTGAAAACGATGCAAAGATCGTGTTTCCTAACAAATCTAATAGGGCCTCTTTTACATATTCTGCAGAAAAACTCGCATAGCATTGGATCAGGACTTTATGACAAATAATATTTGAACCGTAAAGAAAAGGGCTCAGGAATCACCAAAAATGGTCATGCTTCTTTCAAAATGCTTATAGTCAAACTTCTGCATTCTTGATTAGGACAGAATTATTTATGTTATTTTTTTAAATACTCTTTACATTATAATTATAATAGAAGTAGAGTCCTTCAAATCATGAAAAACTGAAAAAAAATTAAGAATAACTGGATAAATTTAATCCTAATAGGTAAGGAATATAAAAATCCGACAGTTTTACATTCGAAAATTCTGTTTATCACTAATGCATATGTGATTGATAACACTCTTACAATATCGGCGTTAATCCAAAACGAATTATATTTGATCACATAGCATGTAAAGAAAAATGTGGTAGAAATAATTTTGAGAACATGTTCTGGAGTACATTTTGACGTCAAGAATGTGGTAAACTGCAAGAAATAATTTTTAGTAATTAAATCAGCCACATCAAAAAAGCAACAGTAGATTATCTGATTAGCAAACTGTAATTTCTTTATTCTCCGTTACTCTGTATACTAGGTACAATAAATTAGTAAAAACAGCAAGTAATTAATATTCGGATATAATTGTATCACAATAATATTATTTTAATAAAATAAAATATTATTTAATATAATTTGAAATTTGATTGACGTAATTAAAATAAGGCTTTGTTATATTATACAATATTTGGTGGTTTATTTCATAATAATAATATTAAAATCTTAACATACTTGAAATATAATGAAAGTTATCAGAATGCCAAGAAGTAAAATGAACTGAAGTTCAACGACTCGCGATCGTTGGTAAGGCCACAAACCAACGGCAAGCAGCAGGATTCGATTGACGTTAAAATGTTGAGTTTCGAGACAAATCATCTCTTCGTGAGCACAGAGATGTATTTGACGGAAAAGCAGTGGATGGAAATTTATATATCTCTCCTCTTTTCTCTTGATTGATGGTATATTTGTCTAAGCAATGTTAAGTATTAGTATATCAGCTTCAAAATAGTAAATTATGTTAATGTTAGTATATCTTAATGTTAAGTTTTTCCTTAACTTCTCACCTGGATATCTCAGTGTTTATTATTAATATACACGCAGAAAACTAACGAATTAATATAACAAAGTGTAAATAAGAGCTAAGTATATAAATAGCAGTACTAAAAATTGTAATTCAGATTATAACATTAATACTATATGTTATGTACTTGGTTAATTGCATGGCATTGATCTTACGTCTATTTTTGATGAACGAAGTTAATTTTAGACATCTAAGTTTCCAAAATCTACATACCTATATACGTTGATTTGTTATGTACTTGGTGTATTTTTTTTTGTAAAGACTTTTTGTTAGGATTTTACTACTTTTTGTAAAAATTAATAATATACAAATTTTGTATTATTTTATATACTTGGCATATGTTTTTTTTTTACATTAGTAATGTCCTTTTATTTGAGATTGGAATTTTATTGTTTTTTGTGGAAATTATTTATGTTTTGTAATGTTATAGAAATTAATATTAAATCTTATTACACTTTTTCAGCAAAGAAGATGTATGCGTTTTTGATAGTTTTCTTTCGAAGACGAAGTGTGTTTCACGAATGCTCGTACTTGAATAAAGTTTTAAAACTGAAAAGGAGGAAATGCGCCTGCGTAGCTTTTCTAGATATAGTTCAGTTTTTCATGGGAAAGACACATCCGTCAAATTACTTTAAACTACAAATCGATCACATAAATTATGTTATAAAGAATGGTACGCATCTTACTCAGAATTTTGTTGAATCGAATGTGTTCCGATCTCACGGTGGACTTGCTCAACTGTGCATTACAGTCAATTACGGAATTTACGTTGAAATTTACGTAAGAAAAAAACGATATGGAATAATTTAACCGATTAGTGAAAAAAGGAGGGGATGAGCACACCGTCGGTCGTCGATGTCTTCGCAGTAATGTTTTGGAGCGCATAGGGAGATGATCCGTCTGGAAGTTCAGTATTTCGGTCTCAATAAAATCCTATTGCTAGCTATCGGTTTGTGGCCTCATCAACAATCCAAACTCACTCGATTTCAGTTCATTTTCCTCTCCAGTATTCTGACAACGAGTATTATATTTCAGGTAAGAGAACAATATATTGACATTGTACTCATAATATCAATTGATCTCAACCGCATTACAAATTCAAGTGTGTTATTTTTACAGAAAATATGTTATTTTTACACGCATAAAAATAACACGTCTAGAAATAACATTTGATTGAAGCTTTTCTTACATGTTTCTTTATGTGTTAAATTACGTTATTTAACATGTTTAATCGTATTAAATTAAAAGTTAATACACTCAATCGTGTTAAAATGACGTGATTTAAAACAAGAAATGTATAAGAAGAGAAGATTTGCAGCACAATTGATTTCAATCTATACTGTTCAGTTCAACTTTTTATATTAAATACATTGTAATTACTTAGAGTACATACTTAGAGTTATATTTATAAATAAAATTAAATAACAAATAACAATGGAATTTCGCTCGACAAAGCAACAGCTAAGTAGTTTGAAACGGCCAAAATTCGAGCAATTAACAGATGTTAAAAAAATATATTTAATACTTCAATAACGATATACAGTAGTGTTTTGAGCCTTACTTGGCCTTTTGCAGAACAATAAAAACGTATAAAGAATAACGCATTACAATATCTCGACTCATTTTACAAACAAAGAATCAGATTCGATCCAACGCTACAATTTACATTAATCAACGCTACAATTTACATTAATCTCTCTCGTGTATAAGAACGATTAGTCATATAGTGAAGTCGGAAGAAAATAGTGTCAGGTATTCGTCAAATTACAAGCAGAATTGGTCGTTTCCCTCGTTACATGACATATGTGTGTCCATAAAACCCATGCAATCGTAAGACCTTTGTCACCAGGCCGTCTTAGTGGCAACTACACGGAAAGTTAGAAATTCCGTAAGACAAACATGAATTTAAGTATTAAGTTTAGACTCATAAACGGACTCACATAAACGATCAGTGCAACAAGAACGAAGGTGAAATCCTTCCATCGTCTTTTAACAGTGTGTGCTCATCGCGAAGAACTACAGACGACCGAGACAATGATCGCGTCACAAGTAGGGCACGGCAAACAATACTGATTGTTATTAACGAGCATTTATGATAACAAGTTTAAAATATCAAAATAGGCATCGTTCAATAATTCCGTATCCTTGTTTAAATTTATACCATTTGGCTTCTCTTTAATGTGTATCATTTCTGCGGTCAATATTTTTTTTGTAATTATGCTCAGTTTCCAAGATGCAAACATTGTCCCAATCAAATGAATGATTAAATTTGGTAATATGTTCTGAGACAACCGAATGTTTAGACTCATCCAATCTAATATTGCCTTTATGTTCCTTTAATCTAGTATGTAATTGCCTCTTAATCTGACCGACATAAGAGGCATCACAATTCTTGTAACAAATCTTGTATATTACGTTATTGTTAGAAAAATGGGCGTTCTTATCTTTCTCGACCTTAATGATGCTATTAAGTTTGCTTAAAATGCGGTATCCCACCGAATTTTCTGATTTATTGACTGCTGAGGTGATGATTTTAGAAATGGATTTTAAATATGGTATAACAATAAAACTTCTTCTTTGTTGTGAACATTCCGAATCTGACTGAAGTTTTCTCAATCTTTTATTAATATATGCAAGAATATTAGATCAATGGGATACCAAGCAATACATTGATAACAAAAATTAAATTTTTGTTGTAAAAACTGGGATGTGCATGACAAAATTAAATAAAATTATTCATTGTGTGCAGGTAACGTCACTTATAACTTTAAGATGTACTCTTGATCTCGTTGCCATCAAGGTTGTGTCTTCCGCATCTTTCTTTACTGTTTACTTGATACACTACAATTCGTTCTGTATTAAATCAAAACTGTAAGTTATGACATAGCGAATATATGACATAGCCGTAAAATAAAGCTTTACAACCAAATAAATATTTATACGCGAAATATATTCTGATGTATACAAAGACAATATAAGAATATGTTGCTGGAATAATAGATAAAAAACTTACTGATGGAACTTCAACATATACATATATGACGAATTAAAGGATGAAAGAAAAATTGCGATCATAAAAAAATATATGGCTACAATGCGAAACATTACACAGCTGTACTTACGGGTAAAGCAATATTTTTTTATGCGATTACGTTTTTTATACCTCTACATCGTTAAAATATTAGTGGAAGAAAATGAGTTTTAATATATTACAAAATTATGCTTGTTCTCATAATTTCTTTGCATATATATATGGGACGTTTCACGTCAACCGGATCACTTGTCTGCCCAAAATTTGAAGCGACCTACAAAGATGTTCGATATAAAATTCATAATTTATTGCATATCTCCGTAGAGTTTGCAACCTACTACCAATACTATCCTTCTCCTCTCACTTTAACTTTTTGGACCAACGGCTTAACGTCTCTTTCCGAAAGACGGAGCCCAGTTTTCTCCGCACAAGAGCAATGGGACAAATCGTTTTCAGCGTAGCCAGAATATTTAAAGTGGTCCGGGGGTAGGTTTTTTTAGTATAAGAGTGTCTTCCGCAGGGTGTATCGGTTCGGTCTTTTATGTATTTTGTGTGTGGAATTTAGTATTTGCTGTGTGCCGAAGGAGAAATGGGACAAATCGTTTTCAGCGTAGCCAGAATATTTAAAGTGGTCGAGTGGTAGGTTTTTTGAGTATAAGGGTGTCTTCCGCAGAGTGTATCGGTTCGGTCTCTTATGTATTTCGTATTTATCACCCAGAAATGTCTTTGTGCCAAAGGAGAAATAGAACAAATCATTTTTTAAAAATCCAGGAACGTTCCAAACTTCAACTAGCTCCCAGATTCAACATCACAAACACTGAAATAGTATATCGTGCACCAAGGGACGAAAGTAGCGTTTTTCAGATGAGTGTGAAGTTTGCCGCTCGAGCCGAAGGCGAGGGCGGCAAATCACACGAGTCTGAAAAAGCTTTCGCCCCGAGGTGCACACGATATTTTTCACAATATCTTTACGGAAAGTTCGACCTCCATGCCTAGAGAGAGGCGAGAGTGGCCATTTCACGCCAGGACGGCATAGCGGGACGAAAGTAACCACTTTCCTCCCTAGGGCGGAAAGTGATCACTTTCGTCCCTAGGGCGGAAAGTGGCCACTTCGTCCCTGTTTAGCGGGACGAAAGTGATCACTTTCCGCCCTAGGTAGGAAAGTGGTTACTTTCGTCTCGCTAATCCTGGCGTGAAATTGGCCACTTTTCATCTTGGATTTCAAAACGGGACACATGACTTTTGAAAGTACTAGTAAAGACTAATTTTTTGAGCTATCGAACGTCTTTGTAGGTCGCTTCAAATTTTGGGCAGACA